AAAAAAAAAAAAAACAGTTTCAGAAAATTTTCTTTATTTTTTTTTATTTTTTGTCACAGAGCTACCATTTATCTCGTTTAATTATATTGATAAAAAATTTAAATATATACTTAAAGTATTATGTGAAAGACAAACAAAAACCCATTACAGGATGGTTCCGTTGTTTTTTTAGTCATAGATACACATGTAAATTAGTGATGTGTAGATAATCTATGCTTAAAAGAAACAATGAAACCATCCCGTAATGGGACTGTTGCATTCACCTCAAATAAGATATCCACGTGGTCTGGAGATAACTTTGATGGGCAGTGGCATGAAAGACCAACCATGTCAAGGCTACTCGACTTGTCGTTGGTTCGCAGTGGGACAAAAAATGAGCTGAAATTTACCAAAATAATGACAAATTACACTTAATTTTCGATTAATCTCATAATCCGGACTGAGGCAGGGCTTGGTGACTGATTGAAGCTTCCGTCTCGCAGTGCTATGTAATCACCAAGCTGGTGATTTGCCTGAACTGAAGCGGTGAGTGGTCGCCTCGACTCTTGCTCTCGTCTCATTGATTTTGCACTTAGGTTTCTAGTTTTCAAGCATCTATAGAATTGAAATGTGGAGTCTCCTTTATCTGCTGCCCCAAAAACCTTACTATTATATATTTAATAAGGCAGACCGTGCCGCCAAACGAATTCCGCAGCCACACTGGCTGGCCCGTTTAGGCCCACTCAGGCCCATTTTGACTTGTATAAATGTGAGAACAAATTTATATCTACTTTTTTCGCCGGTACCAGCCGGTACAGGGAAGAGATTGGAGGGACCAACTTGCCAGCCAAGCATCACATTTAGCAAAAACAAACAAAGCTAAACAACAATGACTGCCTCCATACATCAGAAAACTCAGTAATATAAACTGCTCTCCAAAGCTAAAATTTACATGTCAAGTCCTGAAGATTGAGCAGAATTTCGATGCTAGAGAAAAAGAACGGCCTAGAAAAGCTGCAATATAGCCATTACCTTGATTCTCCAAATCTCTAATGGAGCTTTATTTGCATGTTCACCATACATTGCGTCTCGTTCCCATATTGACGGCATAAGGGCAAACTGAAAAAGAAGGCTACACTCATTCTTACTATTTTAAGTGAAATTATACATAAGCATACAAAAACGTAAATAATAATAATAATAGCCTACAAAAGTATGGGAAAATAGATAGCTCTAGTAATTCAAAAATGTCCCTTTAACAACTTCAAAGCAATATACACTTTGCATACCAAGTATATGTCATGTTGCATCAGAACTCGTGAAAATGGCCTCGACTCTATCAAGTGACGCCTGCAAGCGTCCAGAGTTCATGTTGAATAATGGTTCATCCGTGCCCACACCCCTGTAGACGACATGCTCAAATGAAACTTATTTCATCCGAAAAAAAAAATACTATTGCTGATTGAGCAGAAAAATTCAAATCGAAACAGACAAACCAATCAGAGTAAAATGAATTAACATATAGAAAATATTAAAATAATGCTAAATGGGAAGAAAATATTTAAATTTTTCCGTCGGTACAAAGCTAATTTACCCAGTAATTTCAGGGAGAACATAATCAGCCTTCCACCCGAATCGGAAATCTACTCCAGGGCACAGACCAAGGGATGTTTTGTTTTTAATCCGAGAAATACCATCCTCACCAAAGCACGACGAGAGCTTCCATTTCCAACCAGTAGCATGTAGCTGAAAACTATGGCCCACACCCACCTGCTCAAGGCCAAGATTTATGTTCAGTGGGATTCGGCGAAGGAAAGCTAGGGAAACGGACGAGAAAAGTGATGTGAACATCAAACCTGAAGATTAAGGAACTTTGTTATCGGGATTTTCTTGGAGACAAGCTGGACATCGTGGACTAAAGGCTCGTATATAAATTTCCATTTCCGTTCATTGGCCAAAGGCTTCAGAACCAGTTTTGCGTGGTAGTCATTCAGAGGAGCATTGTACAGCTAAAATGAAGTCAAAACGAAGATTTCAAAAATGATATTGGTAGCATAACTACGATCACATAAAGCAAAATAAAGATAGCAATCACAAGTCAAGTTAAAACATAAAAGTATTAACAAGAGAAAATGGAAGAATGACTGGAAGTCTGAAAGGGGTGGAAAACACTTCAATTATGCGTGCAACTTAATCATATTGGAAGATATAATCTTAACTTACAATTTTTTTACATTAACTTCATAGATACATACTATATATCTACATAAAATATATCAATGCCATTTACGCAGACACCCTAAAGTCCGTTAATGTCCTCATGTCTCTGACCTTTTTATTTACTACTTACTCAAAATTAATTTTGCACAATAAGAAACAAAACTAATATTTCTAAGCGGTGAATAACATATCCATGGCCGAGCTTTTTGGCCTTCCATCGCCATTCTTGAGAAATGGAGAGGCAAGCATAACAATCACAAGTTAAAAAGAGCCACATTGGACTCACAACTCAATGCAGATATAAATCATAGCATATACTAACTTGCTTTAGTAAGCTAGCTTGCAAAATGATAGACAAAAGCCTTCTTATCTTCGGATAATGAACCGACTATATATACACGAAAGCGCCAATTTTCTGAGTAATAAAAATTGAAGCCATTTTAAATTACTAAATCACACACCCCCAAATGCTCAAGAAAAAATTCAATTCAAGTGACCACACAACAGTTACATAAACAAAATTCATCATCTCCAAATCGCCAACATCACATAATTGATAGGTGTTTTTTAGCATTCATCCACACATTACAAAATCCAATATAGAATCAACAAATTCCAAATTAATTAAAAAAAAAAAAAAAACTCTAATTACCTCTAAATTAACCCCAACGCGAAGCCCCTGGAGTTCTTTCCTGAACTTGAGGAAAATCTCAGAAGGCACCAAATTGATGTTGTAAAGATCTTCCCATGAAGTGGGTTCTTCGCCATTGGCAGTCCCTTCCATTTTCTTCAACTAAAAGTGAAAAAAATTGAAGTAGAAAAACACCAAATAAAACAGATAGGCACCAAAATGTAAGTACTGTAAATCAAACGAAAAAATAATGACGTTCTTGTCAAGGTTTATGGAGTGGAGAGAGCTGAAGAAGACGAACCAGAGTAGAGAGGCCTTGCAGCTTGGGCTTTTGATCTATGTTTTGCGAATGCTTCCAGCTTCCTATTTCCCTCTTCTATAATGGACTTTATAGATATTTTTTATAACTAATTTTATAAAATTTTATTTAATATAAGAAGGACAATTTATTTTTTAGTATAAATATTTCTTTATTTATATATTCAAGTCAAATTATTTTGAGGTAGAGAAGGTCGCATTAGCACTCATTTCGACGACACGCGAGTTGCTACATTATTTTTTGGCGCATAAATTTGTGGTTCGTACAACCTACACACTGAAGGGTACTCTAGGTCGACCTTCGGTCTCGGGCAGGATGGTTAAGTAGGCAGTCAAGCTCGAAGCGTGCAATGTCGAGATCGAGGTCAGGAGAGCTAGGCGCTCAAGCTCTGACGGACTTTATACAAGAATGAACAGTGGAAAAGGAAGTTGGCTAGTGGATGGTGTATGTGGATGGCTCCTCGGCTATTGGAAGAGCACGTTTGGGTATGTTGAACCGGAGCAGGACCACTGCAAAGATCTTTTAGAGCCTCAAACAATGAAATAGAGTATGAAGCCTTGATAAAGAGAATACAACTCGTCGAAGGGGAAGGAGGTTAGCGGGTGATTATTCACTCAAACTCCTAGCTCGTTGTCGAGCAGGTAGAACGTGAGTATGAGGCAAAAGAGGATCGCATGCAGAAGTACTTGGCTGAGGTACGGTCTTTACTGAAGTATTAACTATAGATAGTAAGTCAATTCATTTATTTCTTTTGTCAAAGTTACTAAAATTGATTTTACCAACAAGATTAACACACATTACGCCAATTTATCTTCCACAATTATCCTCAATTACTCTATAAAATTGGTGTCACCGATAAATTGTATCACCTTTAGGTGTAAAGGATAAATTATCACGAGCATTCTAGATAGAATCACAAGTAATGACTATCGAGGAATCAAACGTATGATAAAATGACTATCGGAGGAATCAAACGTGTGATAAAAGTGACATCCAAGGGCGATACACTGCCATCTATCATCACACAATCCGTTATAATTAAGGAAGATACTACGGTCCCGTTACCGAACCATTTTGTCGGAATTTTTAACCGTTAGATCAACTATCTGTGACGGTAACACAATAATCTGACGGTTACAAACTCCGACGGAATGGTTCCGTAATGGGACCTTAGCCTTTCCCATTAATTAATCAACTTAACAAAATAAAATTATTCAACCCCAAAGTTTATTAACTCATAGTCAAAAGCATCCCATGACCAGTGAACTCAAACACTGACAGTACCAAACCATGAAAAAACCACACAAAACCAAAGCAAACGAAAAACTTATCAAAGTCTTCACACACACACACACACACACGAAAAAGACACACAAACAAAACACACAAAAACAAACGAAAAAACACCTTCAAAACCCAAAGAAAAGGTTCACGCCCCAGCAGTACTCGAGCCGCCCCCACGCGCACTAGCCCTCCTCGGAACAAACCTCCTGACCCAGATGTGCTTCCCATTGATCGACAACCTCACTTTCGCCGCCCCCTCGTCAAGCACCCTCCCCACGAGCGCGGGCCCCGCCAACACGACCCTCGCGTACAACGCCTGCTCCCCCGGGCCCACCACCTCCTGCATGCGCACCGTCTCCACCCGATCCTCCCCACCGAGCAGTCCCGCCAAGAACCCCCTCAACTCCCCTTCCCCCACCGGGTACCCTTTAGAGAACGTCACAAACACCGTCCTCTCGTCGTGATCACTCTCCACGGCACGGGCCGGGGGCTCGCTCGGGCCCGCGTCCTTGAGGTCGGCCACCAATGGCGTGCAGACCTCCCGGACGAGGGTCTGGACCTCGTTGAACGCGGCCCGGCCCCTCCCGACAAAAAACTGGAGGGAAATGTCCCTTCGGCCGACGAGGCTGTGGGTGAGGGGTATTTCGGTCATTATTGCCTCGGGAAAGAACGGGGATTGGGGGTCGAGGCAGTTGAGGCACGCGACGGCCTCGTCAGCCAGCTGGTCGACCAGGAAGCGCGGGAGTGAGAGGGCTCGGCTCACGAAGTTGTAGAAGCCCAAGCGCTCAAGCCAGAGCCACAGGGCCAACACGTTGAGGCACTCGGTCGGGTCGCGGAGGAGGTCCCAAGCGAGGATGCAGTACATGGCTCGGTCGATCGAGTGGAACTGCCGGAACTCTTTCAGGGTCACCGTGTACTGGGTGCCGTCCATGATATGCTGACCTGGAAACCGCAACAAAAAATAAATAAATAAATAAATCTGGAATATGTGACTAAGTCTATATATGGGTCAATGGGATCATAGAGATGATATGAATTAGTCCTATACCAATACCATCAACAGCAACAACAACAAAACGAAAAATTGAAATGGCTATAAACGAAGAGCATAACTAGTCACATAGATAGCGCCGGTCGAAAAAAATCTATCACTGTTTCGTCAATTAGCACATAACAAATCATTCTAACAATTCATATAAATGGCATTTATACAAATCGGGACGCTTCATGATTATATGCGCAACAAATTTTTCATAACCGAGCAGGCACATTGCAGATTGTACTAAACTCAAGAAGCCAAACATGTCACAGGTCAATTCATTTAAGTGAGAGAAACAATTGAACCTGAAGGAGACTAACAGGGGAAATAATCCTCTGAGGCAAGACTCGTCTCTTCTAACGCGTTAACCTTTGCAGAGAATGACCTGTCGAGAAATGTTATGCGACCTTATGGAAGATGAGGCAATGAAGTCTGTTCTTATCTCTGTCACTCGAAAAATTACAAAAGCGGTTAGTGAGATTAGGTGGATTCAGCTCATTAGAGAAATAAATCACATTTTGGCATGTAGCAGTTAATGCTTGCAATTTGGATTACAGAAATAAAGCCCCGAAAAAATGCGCATGATATTTTCGTCGAGTCAAATCTGGCTTTTGCAAAAAAGATCGACACGCGTCATGCACGAGGAAGGCGATGAAAATAAAGAACTCGAGTCATGAAATATGTGGCCATAATTAGGGATTATGGTGAGGATGCCATAATATAAAGGTTAAAAGCAAGTCTCGTTTTTGCTTTTGTTCAATGTCATGCGAACGCCATACATTTGGTCTACAATGTAATTCGAGCAATGTAATTCGGGGAAAGTCTCTCATTCATGTTTGCCAAGAGATAGTTCTCTAAACCAAGATTCTCTAAATCAGACCGTCCATCGAACCAGTAAAGCTATATAGTCAACAGTCAGACAAATGGTTGAACCAGTTGGACCGATAGTTACTTATTAACATTTTTAATAACTATATTGTAATTTAGATAATAATTTTAGATAAACTGTTCTCAATGAAGAGGAGATGTTACTACCTATGCTTCAGGCCAGACAAAGTTGATAACGTAAACCCGACCCTAACGTGCCTTGGCTCGTAAAGTGGCTCACTGGTTGCTCTGGATAAATCATAAGCTAACGTGGCAGAAGACGATGTTAATGACAAAGGTAACAGTAATAGATTCCTCACTTTCATTAAGCTATACATTCAATATCTGCTACTGGTTATTGTGCAAAACTCCCAAATGAAAAACCAAAGGCAACACGACCTATTATTATTATTGTTGTTGTTGTCGACCTATTATTATTATTATTGTTGTTGTTGTCGTTGTTGTTTTCTTCTCCATGGATTTTATTTTTCTTTTTTTTTTCTTTTTTTTTTTATACAAAATTGTCAAAATAACCATTCCTCTTGCCTATAGTTTCAGTCATTTTCTCAAAATCCATCACTAAAATACACCCAATTTTCGTCTATGACCCAACAATTTGGTTATTAGCAGATAGCGGATAACGAATATATTAAAACACAGGAGACGACTAATTGTATTAGCTAATGTGACTAACAAATTGTTTTAGTTGTTTGTAACGAGTGTTTGGTCAATTAGACTTTTGTACAACTTATTCGAAAACCTTATGTTGTGTTAATTTATAAATTCCCACTACCCAAAATACGACTCTGTTGAGTTTTTCAGACTTAAACAAAATAAGATATCCCATTTTTTACTATGAGTTGATAGCTAATTGTAATAGTTGATTTGACTGACATTGTATTAACAGTTTGTAAATAATTGTTTGATAAATAACAAATGTTATAGCTATTTCCAAATTTTATATTGATATGTTATGCTACGATTCATCTCTTATCAAAATGTTCTTATTCTTTATCAAAGTTAATGTTTAGGCTATAAAAAAGCTAATCAACCAATCTCTTTACAAACTAGTTAGCGGATTTGACGGCCTCTACATGAGGTTCAATCCGCTAATTTTACACCAATCCGTCAATATTTAAACACGGTACAACAACAACAACAACATAGCCTTTTAATCCCAAGCAAGTTGGGGTAGGCTAGTAGATTTGACAAGTTAAATCTCTAATTGAAGTTCAATCCGCCAATTTAATACTAAACCGCGATTATCCAAACAAGAGTACATCCTGTATTCTGCTTTAAAGCAGGAAAAAGGAAACAAAGAATGTCCATAACCAAGGGAATGCACACCATGAGCTAAAGAAAAAACTTGATTGAAACTCACTATTGATAACTAAAAATTACTGGTCCAGCTGCAATGCCGGTTCAGCTTGCTCATACAGTGTTTGAGACTTTAAAGACACGATTTTCTTCTGCAATTCTAAATTTGACATTTTCTCGGCCTCCAAAGCACGCTCCAGCTGCACGTCCAGCAAAATTAGTGAGTTGAAATTGTGTGGAAAGGAATGAATTTTCCAAATATCAATATGCACAAAAGTTTCCCTTTTTTTTCTGTTTTTCTGTAATTACCTTAGCTGCTCTGGTACTCCACTCCCCCAATATAGCTCTAAGCCTTTCATTCTCTTCAACGTACTGTTTATAATCAAGATATCACAAGTCAAGTACTGATACAAACTTTCGTATACACACACGAAGCAATGTGGTGATGACTTAAATATAACCCGCACGAGTATTTATATATCTTTGGGCCAAAGAAAAAGGGGTTATTTGACTTGGGCAATTATATGCTACTGACAGACTGACTAAGTGATAATATATCCAAAATTACGATTTTTTTCAACCAAAAATGCACTTCTCATGTTTTATCCTAAATCTCATGCTTAACAAAGAGGAAAGTGTATCGACCCATAGGAACCTGATTGTTAGTGGTGCGAACACCTTGAATTTCAGAGTCCCTCTCAGCAATCAAAGATCGAGCCAGTTTTAATTCAGACTGCAACTGATTCATCTGCAGCACAATATAACTACATTTTTAGACTTTGGAGACTGAAAGCAAAGAAATTTAGTTATGACTACAATCACAAGGCATGTGCAAGATCATAGGCAACAGAACGGAAAAACAACTGAAATAAAAAAAAAAAATGAGAAACAATGAAGAAAAAAATCAACCACTAGACAACATTAAATCATTGAAATAAGATGAAGTCGGCCATGAATAGGAGAGCAAGAAACACCTCTGCTGCAAGTGTGCGTAATTCTTGGTCGCGAGCTGCCAATAAATGCGCGAGATCAACCTGCGATATGCAATAAAATCTAATTAAAACTTTATTTCTCAAACCTATGTGAAAGCTCCCAGAGGTCGAAGGTTACAATTATGAAACATAAGATCATGTATCAAAACTTACTGATGTCTCAGATACCAGTCATCAACATTCTTTGCTTAAAATTGTGTAAAATAAAAACTGAAAGATATTCAACAATGTTTTTCTTTGTCTAAATATAACCAACATCATAATTCCCAGTTATGGAGAGAGAAAAATCAGTTCCACCCATATCGAATCAAGCAACTAGCTTCATATATGAACCAAGCACACTAGCAACACTTGTAGTTACAAATAAGGATAATGTCTACCTCAGAATCACCAATTTTACTAGATTCAGTCAGTTTTACTTCGACTAAAAAGAAAGAAAGGAAAGAAAACAAGAAACAGAAATACAAACGTGAGTAATATATTTCTACTTAACAATCTTTACACATCACACGACAAAATGATCTTCAGGGTTTTGGGGGCAATTTATTTGAGGAGAAAAGAAATGTGGCAACTACTGTGCAATGTAAATGCATATTGGATGATTTAGCATTCGGTTTTTGCACATTTGCTAGGCAACAATGATGTAGCAAGTGCCATACATGAAACAAATTTATCAAAGATGATCAGTACCTGAGGCGTACTCCCATCATCAGATCTCTCATATTTGCTCAAGCACTCCTGCAATCTAAGAATCTAAAAGGAAACAAAAGATCAGGAATCACACTGGAATGTCCTAATTTAATGGTTTGCAATAAAGTTCAACATGTCATGCATTATAGGCCCAAGTCAATATTGAATGAAAATGGATGACAACGTGAAACCTTAATTTAAAAGTAACATACAACGCATGTAGAGAAACATCCACTTGTGTCAAGTAAACGTTATCAAATACATTTTTTACCTCCTCACTTAAAAAGTGTAGGTTTTCCCTCTGATATTGCAACAAGGCCATCTGCTGATCAGACAGGCGTCCCCCATCATGGTACCTATTGCAAAAGACCAACATCATTATTTTTATATGAAAAAACTCCTTGTGAGTAATACCTAAGTGCTTCAACTCATAATCAGGTATTGAGAAGATAGTCCATCCTGTTTTGCAGACAGGGATGCTAAAAAATACGATCTTCAATTTTCAGAGACCACTTTGGTACCCTGTTTTCAAACCTTTAAGCAGCTCGAATAACAAGCTACAAGGTGTACTCTATCCTCTGTGAAACATTAATTAACTCTGTAAGATGCCTCTAAAAGAGTAAGAGCTTGAAGCAAACATTTGAATCATAGCAGATGGAGTGTTGTCGGAGCTATTATTTTTTGTTTTGTCCCAGAAATTGGTAATGTTTAAAGTGCCGAGGCACAAAACTAGAATACTTTTATCATTTCATAAAATGTTAATACTGCTAAGGAAAGAAAGTACATAGTCTGTTTCAGTAACTTCCTTTAATAACATTTTCCTACTATGGGATGTGATTTCAATAACATTCGTATTTGATTCTAGCAAGAAAATATTTCTACGACCAACAAAGTATGATCAAGTCAATACCGCAATCCTTCTAAAGCACTTGACTGTTGCAGTGGAGAGTACAGTGAGTTCAAAACATCAGGCTGGGAATCCAACGAATTGTACTGGTGCACATAACCTGCAGCCATCCAAAGGCTTTTTAGCAATTATTTTTCCTGACTTCATATTTAAATAGTATCTCAAGAAAGCAAATTGAATCTGTGAGTTATCAGTATCAGATTCAGAGGTCTGCATAACACTTGCACTGAATAACCTTCTATGTTCAGTTAACAGGAAAAAGTCTTTTGGAATTTCAAAATTACAGTTCAATCATTACAAATGATACAGTACCATCTGACATTCGTGAGGTGTGTATGTGTGTGTGTTTTCGGGTGGAGGG